ATGGGCACTTAGTGATTGTAATTTAGAGAACTAATACGACAAGGTTAGCTTTTTTCTAATATATACGCACCTATCAACGCAATGAAAAGATAATGACGAATTGTTATCACAAGCATTGTATTTACTATGGAGGGAATGTTATTACAGGCAAACTTCACAGTAACATGTACAGGTCTTGCATGTCATTGCATCAGTAATATTAGCATACTAATTGTATTACGGCCAAATGTAAATAATCTAAAGGCGTCGTAACAAAAACTTTGCGGGAGGTAGATGTATTGAAAGACTGCTTGCAGACACTATGTATGACGACATCTAGCAGAATGTCTACGAAGACTGACAACCTAAAATGAGGAAGATAAAAATGAAACAGTTGGGTGACACATTATGGATAAGATGAATATTTTTGATATGTGTGTAAAACTTGGGCAATATGGTAGAGTATAACTACATTATGGATACGACTTTATTTTGATAAATCACACAGTGTTGTACAGCAATATTATCTGATGACGTTTCGAGCACAAATTATTGCTCATAATCGTATCAAGTCAGTCACACAACTTTTTGCCTCATTCATACACATGAGTATTTTAGTTAAGCGTACTACAGGGATAAAAGGTCACTCATCTCATTCACTTCTATTCACACTAATTCTTATGTCCGTGTTACTGACTTTTGGTTTATGTTTTCCTCTTCGGTGCACTTTATCTGGACAATTTAAGGAATTAGGAAGTGCATAGAGTACTTAGGAAACGGTATGAATAATTGTTTAAGCTAATTAACACTAGGTAGTTGTGACACTACGCATCTGCAGTGACAAAGCTGACTGACTGAGTTTTAACATGGAAATGAGCACAGAAGTGTAGCAGTCCAATTTGTGACGTTCCACACTTGAAAATATTATATTTAGTTAGTAATAAGCAAAACATATTTCATCAGATGTGTTTCGACTTCGCATTTGGGCTACGCGATAAAATTAACTAACTCATGAGATATAACGAGAAAGAGTGTGAGAGTTATCTCGGGTAAGAGGAGAAATTATTGTAAGATCACTTTTTTCAGTTAGACAAGAACTAAATGAAAAATACGATTACCATTTGTTGACATTTTGCCTATTTTTATCCACGTTTTAGCATTTCATTATATCTGGACTATAGATCATTCTGACAGACTGACTTTCAACATAGAAGCTTGCACACAAGTGCACCCGCTTAAGTTAGCACATTCCATGTAGCACACAAAGGTAGAAGAAAAAAGAAATTAAATGTCACTATAATGAGCATAAATGTGATGAAAAAAAAAGTCATATGGAAAAAATATAAGGGTTGCTCAGATATGTGAGATTACACACAGTGAATGCATCTGTGTCATTAACAACGTTTGGAATCACATTTCTACTTAACACTAAACTTAACCCCAATATTACTCACCATATTAGACTACTTAACACAGAAGAAAGGGTACAGACACTACGATCAAAAACCAGTAGTCTTTTCATATCTTCCAGTTTCAATGGTCACTTATCGCAGCCTAAGTGGGCAATACCATCAGCATACACTAAGTTGACAAGACTGTTCCCTGGTAAGTCCCTAAAGTGAGTGATAGATAATTCGGTTAATACATTTAGGATGAACGTGAACTAAAATAAGGACTACAGTTGTAGAAATGAGCCTTGTATTATACCCTTCTTGGAAATATCAGTTCCCTCATAGTTTAGTTTCAGTATTAAGTGAATGGAATGCAGTCTACAGATTCATGAAATTCACATACTGACGCGCTACTTTCCTAGAATCCTAGTTGACGTCTCCTCAAGAAAGTGGGAGATGAGCATTGCACTTCTGTAAACTCAGTAGGCTGTGAACTGCTGCCAATGAAATCGACAGCAATTTTTGGTATTACGTAATTCCGAAACCGATCATATAATCTTTGACACTGACTTCTGGTTCGATCAGATGAAGTTAAAGGCAAGAGCTGAGAATATAGATGTTGAGGGTTAGATAGTATAGTTTTAGACCATTTATCGCATGAGTTTAGATGTCTTTCAACTAATCCATTAACGAGTTGACTAAATGGTACGCCACTTGCCCTAATGACAGCCTTAATACCCTGCACAATACGACATAGCCGTTTTTGAGTAATTCAGGAAAGAATAAGGGGGAGCAGTAAAGACCGATGCAAGAGTTAACAAATTGTAAAAGGAGGTTGAATGATTCCTGACTGTCTTGACCACATAACGTGGTAAGCTAGACTGAAGGTTTTCTTAGAAATCGACAAGATATAGAATGACCAAGAAAGACCAGAGGATAGAACTACTTCAAGGTATTTTATGTTAGACTTAGTTTCTGTTTCAGTGCCCTCTTTGATACGAGCATCTTGTAAACAACACAATTCTTGTAATTCACGCTTATGAGTGAAGGGAAAGTTAACTGCCTGAAATTTAGAGGGATTTAACGTAAGACCATATGCCTTAGACTACAGACAGGAAGCAGTTAGGTTTGCTGCAGTCACATTGTAACATGACAGGAAGTGAGACGGTCAGATCACCAGCGTATTTGACGAAGTTGCTCTCATTAGAAGGAGAAAAGTCATGTAAGACGAGGGAGAAAAAAGAAGAGGAGAGATAACAATACCCTGAGGAACACCAGCTTCAGCAAACGAGGCGGAATATTTACCCTAATATACAGTATGCTGCATTCCATTTGAGAAATGATAATGCAACCAGTCAACTCCTCAGGACCCGTGTTTTCACGACCGAAAACTTATTCAACTAAAGTCATCTATGTCCTGAGTCGACAACAACGGCATATGCTGACTGAAAGCTTAGCACAAAAGTGACAAAGCACAAAAACTTGCAAAGTAGGAGACGAGTCCCGGGTGGAAGAAGAGATTACTGAAAGGTATCTATTTTTCATTTGGCAAAGAACAAGATTAAGAACTACACTTATCATTTGTTGAAATTTTGGAGATCATTTATCAATGTTTCGCATTTAGTTATGCCTAGACTGTGTCATTCTGACTAGCTTTCAGTATGAGTTTGCAGAGAAGTCCACCTGTTTAATTTACCACATTCCATGTAGAACACGTAGGTAGAGACATAAAACTAAATGCAAGTTTAACGAGCGAAAATGTGAGGGAGAATAAATAGTGACAACGAAAAACATGAGTTGAACAGATACGTGAGATTACACAGAGTGAATGCATCTGTGCCAGTAACAAAGATTTGCAGTCATATCTCTAGTAGTTCTTCCAGCTGACCGTCAACGATTTTATGAACCAATACCAGTTTTCCATTTGACTGACCCAAACACATTTTAAACCTTAACATGTGCTGGCCAGCATTGTCGGAAGGCGATGGCTTGATATGCCAGCACGTTCTAGCCATCTCAACCTATTCAGCTTCCCTACCTTGAAGACTAACTTACCCTCCCCACCTAAACATTTATGCGTAACCTCAACAGCACTCGCCATATTATACTGCTTTACTCATGAGATAGAACGCAGACACCTGTAATCAAACACCGGTATTATTTTCGTATTCTACAGCATCAGGGGTTACTTCGCATAGTCTAGGTGGACGATATCATCAGCAAACTGTAAGTTGATGAGACTATTCCCTGATAAGTCTCTAAAGTCAGCTACAGACTATCCTACTAATATATGTGTGATTGAATTGAACTGTTATAAGGATGACAGTTTAAGAATTCAGCCTTGTTTTGCATCCCACTCGGAAATGTGTTTTATCGGATAATTCGCAAACAGTATTCAATGAATAGAAAACATTCTGTAGGCCTAATGAAACTCATAAATTGACGCACTACTTTTGCAGGCAACATAGTGTTTCCTCAATAAAGTGAAAATCGGATATTTCGGCTGCATAAAACGAGTAAGTGATATCCTGGCAATACCAATGACTACAACAAGTCTAGGAATTATGCACTACAACATTTACTTTGCTGAATACTGCGGCAGACTTTACATAAACACTTGACAGATATCAAATTTATACGGGAAGTCAGTAAGATTTAGTAAACTAAAAGTACTTTCGGTTTCCATAGCACTTCTCCGTGCCGAATTTATACCTTTAAGGGCCTACAGAGATTAAAACTTCAATTAAATAACACTGACGTGGAAGAAATTCCATTCTTCAGTGCTAAAATTAATGGAAATAATCATGTTTTTTATTCTAAAAACAGGAGTATTCGTAATGTTTTACTTTATGTAAATGAAGTTACATACAGTTGCACTAAGAACTCAGTACAACTCAATGCACGATAGTTTATATACAAATAAACTGAAAAATAATGTCCTCCTTACCTGATGAAACACTTCCAGGATTATAACTTTCTTTCATCTATGAGCCTGAGTTATGTCTAGGAAATCGCAATATTACATCAGTTAAATCTTCTTCCCAAACCAAGGCCACTTGAAACCAATAGCAACATAGCAACAAGCGTCACTGAGGGGATATGCAATAAAGTCGCTCGTTTATACTAGCTCGTAATCAGGATATTGGATATTGAGGGGTTGTACCCGCGCATTCTAATACTTGAAATTTGCGCTTTCTTTTTTTGTGTGACTGTTGGTCCGTGTACTGCATATTCGCTCCCATATGTGTGCGTCGATGCGTGACTTCTCCAACCTGTGCTATGGACGGCTGTCGAAGAAAAAGGATATCGCCCGGTTAAGGCTCTTAACAGGTTTGAATAATTTCCACAGTATGAGTTTTAGATGCACTGTTGGTTCTTGATCTATCCCTTAAATCACAAAAATGCTCTCTCTATACCGATAAGTTCCGGGATATCAGACTCGTACTTTTGGAAGTATTAGTTGAATGGATTTTCTACTTTTCATGTGTATTCCGGACACCTGACAAACAGAAATTTCACTCTCCTAATGTCGAACATGTAATCAATAACACTATAAAAGAAAGCTTAAAATTTCTTGAAGCCCTTACGGATTCATTAATCAAATCAAAGTCAGCGGAAGCGCCTAAATCCATGAATAATTTCGCGAAACATTTGAGATTTATGATGGTAAGATTTTACTAACCAAAGCACATGCCAAATAATGATCTTTATGACATTTTATTTTGGTGTTTTGTTAAGGGTCCAAAGATGTTTATTTTTTCAGGAAATCACCTGGGAAAAAACTACAACGTTGAGTAAAAGTAGTAGTAGAACTCGTCAGTTTTCCTGCTAGTAGTCGCTAAATTGACAACTAAGTAAATAATTGGGACGTGCTTTTTAGGAATGCGTGTGATTCCCATCTCGTATATACGCGATATACAGTTGTGAAATAGGGATCGTAATTCGTACGGATGGACATAGTTATATCCCAACAGTATATCTAGGGGTTTTCCTTTGTTTCTCACAATTTACTCTTAAATACCTCGTGAGAATAAGATAATTCATGTTGCTTTACTTTATATTCATGTACTAGCTATTGTTTTATGTCTATTATTAACAAAATACATGGAATTTTCCTGATTAGCTATCTCTTTATGTTTTACACATTTTAGAGTTCTACTTCTAAGCGTGTTTATAGTTGGGTCGACTACTGTAATAAGCTGAGATTTTACTGTGATGGTGTGCTGAAATGTTTTCCTTTATTTGATATGACTTTGCTGGTTAGTTATATGATTTTGTTTACTATGTAAATATACACCTAGACGTCAGAAGAGGAATCAAGAAACATGGAAGACTCCCATGAACTTCATCCATCGTTGATAAGGTATGGTTAACATTAATTTCCTCTAACTTTTTGAAACTAGAAATGAAAAGGTGATGTTTTCAGAGCTGAAGAAATTGATCATACACGAAATGAGTAGACAAGATGGTGATGAAAATGCCACAGTCCCACCATATTTGTTAGATTCTGATTCATTTAACGCTGTGTACAAATCAGCCTGCGAGAAAGCTAACATAACGCAAATTATTCAAGATATTGAAACAGATTATCAGGTAAAGTTGATAAGAATGTTCTTTTGTGCGTATTTTTTGTCACACGTGGTAATTCGCTCATTACGAGCTAGAAATGCTTTAGTTGTCTTCACAAATTGATATCAGTTGTATAACTAGAGAAAATGGTTGATATGCTTGCCCTTTAGGTTTTAGTTTTAGCAATAATTTTTACTCTTCATCTGTGTGCATTGATTTAGTAGTGGTGTTCAGCTTCCCATCCACTTCACTGAGTTTTGATCCCTAACTCTATGTTAAGTGAGAATAATGTATAAACTAAATTCCCATACAGGGATATGCAAAAGGCGCATTGAGAATTGTCATTTGGAATTCGTGTGTGGTGATATGATATTCGTGTTAGACTAATCATTGACTAGTGACTAGTGGCCTGCGCAACTTGAAATTCCTCCTGGCCACTCAATCTAGATAATTTCGAATCATATCAGGCTTTGGTGGTTTTGACGCGATGTTGAGAGGTTTTTTTGCTTCACAATTTTCGATGAAATCAGTCCCTGACGTGTAGAGATGTTGTCATTAGTTTGTGTTTGCATACTGTATTCTTAACACAAAATTTTCAGTTTATTGTTACCTGTTTGTTGTAATCGTTCTGTTTTAGACTGATTATGGCAAGTCAGATAAGTTTCTTAGGAATAAAAGCTGTTTGGCATAAGTGGTTGTTCCCCAATGTGTGGTTGAGAGTGTATGTGTTCAATTGCATTGGTCAATCGAAATGCTTTTCACAAACCATTGTTTAATAGCTATAGGAGCATCTATGATTCACTTCATTCACGACTATGTGTGTGTGCTTCTAAGTGTTTTTTTTCGCCAGTTTCGAAATAAGCAGGATGTACAACATACTTTGTCTTTTTCTCATCAATACTACTACTTTATTAAAAAATATCCATATATTGGATGGTATTAATACCCAACTGTTGTAGTTGACAGCGTTGTATAATATCTGAGTTGTATCAACTCTCCATTCGACTATTCGATAAAAATGACTTATTGTGTCTTAGCTATTGAAGTTGGCGGCTAGAGTTACTTATCTGAGAAAAGTATCGACTAATTAGCGTTGAATTCTATTCCTGTTTCTATTCTCTGAACATTATTCCATGTCCCTATCAATCTATATGAATGCGTTGAGGTTATTCAATAGTCGAATGTCTATTGTTAGACCTGTCGGTATTGATTTGTGTAGCTAGAGTAGTAAATTAACACGAGGCGACTTCCGATTGTTGCTCGCTTTCGGAGAGTTTGTTTCATTGGTCAAGTAGCTTGAAGTCTATTTGATGCGGTCGTCTGAGTTATCCTGCTTAGCGTATTATGGCCTTATCGGTAGGCCAATCTGACATGTAGAGCGTTGTCTGTGGGACTTAATTTGTCCTCATAGTTCATACTATGGGACAGGTGTTGTCTGTCTGTCTGTTTTCGACATAGAACTTAGCACATATGTGTGGCAGTTCAAGTCGCCACACTCAATGTAGCACACAAAGCAAGAGAAGAAAGTACAACAAAAGCCTAAAAGAGACAGTAAACAGAGGTGTGAGACAAAGGAATAGTAGTAACGACGAACAAAAGTTTCATTGGAAATCATAAGTCACAAGGAGTGGATGCATTTGCGCCATTGAGAACGATTTAGAGTCATATCACCAATTGTCGCCGACTACGAGTTCTTCCGTGCGTCCTTTCCTCGATAATGGGATATCACTCCTACGTCAGAGATAGCTTAAGTTGTTGATCTTCCCACGAGTTGGTTGTTGGATAAATCTCATGTTAAGCATTTCTGCTCAAGGTATTCAGAAGATTGCACTTTACCAACAACTTCACCTAGGAGAATAATATCATTCGCTAAGTCAAGAAGACTGTTCCTTAGTAACAAGACAGTCTCTGAGTCGCTGAAATCACTTACAGTGAATTCGATTAGTATATGCATGACGAAATTTAACAAAATTAGGGACAGTCGACATCCCTGGTGGTGGTTGTCATCACTTCAGATAACAGTTGTCATCGAGCTTTTACATGGCTTTCTGAGATCGAATAAAGTGTTTTGGTTAGTATGGTATACTAATTTCTCGGCACTTTCTCTCAAACATTGCCCCACAACCTCTCGATTGACGGAGGTGAATTCCGTCTTTTGGTTGGGAAACATTGCAAATGTTGTAATCCAGTAGGTGTGTCTATGTTTTTGGACATGTCGAAGGGTGAATGTATGATCAAGAGACTCTCGTCCTGACGTAAAGCGTGTCTGGTCCATTCGAGTTTGTTTCTCCCAAGCACCACGTAGTCTGCACGTGTGATTATTGGACCTGGAGATTTAGACAATATATTATTCAAGCGCATATCCCTAATATTATCATGGGGAGATTTGTCTGCCATCTTCTGAACTGGGATAATTATTGACTTAAACCAGCCTAACAGAACTATCTCTGATTCCTAGACATAACCTGTATACCCTAGTAACGCAGACAACAGTTTGTCATCACCGTCCCTAAACGCCATTGCAGTCATTCCATCAGGTCCTGCTGCCTTACATCATTTGGGATTAGAGAAAACCATAGTAGCCTCAGTTTGAGATGGAGGACTAGTGTCTACATCCAATACAGGTAGATATGTTAGTTTCTGGGCGGGTTGAGCGTGTCTGAAAGAGAGTTAAATTGCTCCTCAAAATGTCTCCTCCAACGTTCCAATTGTCTGCTCTGAGAGCTCATTTTGGAGCCACTTTTCTCGAAGATTGTCTCACTTATCACTAGGGTTTTGCAAATTGTTTCTCTAGTAGGCCTAAATAGTTGTCTGATGTTACTTACCGCCGATGCCTTTTCCATCTCTTCCGCATTATCGTCCATCACAGTTGGTAGTCGTTGAGAAGACTTTTGATCAGCTTGCACTTCAACAGTTTTCTCTGGTCATCGTGTGCGGAGCCCACCGAAATCAATCATCTTGCGTCAATCAGTTTGCATGAAGTAGCAGGAGTCCACTGGCAACTACTAGTCATTGGTTTCAGGTTATCAGCAGCCTTTACCACTCTTTCAACATCTGACTTGGATATCATGCGAGACTTCCCCAAGATTAGTCATCATATCAATCTCACACACATTAAAAAATGTTTCTTCCTTGAATAGAAACAGTATTGTGGTCAAGTTGGAGGAGTAACAGTTTTGATCACTGCCTGTAATTTATGTCCGTTGAATCGTAAGTATATACGTGCACGGACTAGGGTGTGATAGGAGTCTACGCAAATGGTTCAGAGAAAGCGACCGGCTGTTTTCTGCCGAAAGTAGGCATCAATAATTTGTCACTGTGTGGTCTACTTGAGTTCATCGTTGATTTGACGATGGAGGTGACCAGGTTAAGTAATGTTTCTCTTTGTGTTTGAAGATGGCTGTTACGAAGAACAAATGATTCAGTGAACAGTAGTGTAAAAGACGATGACCTTTGTCAGTTTGTTGGCCTGGGACTCCATAGGGGCTGTCAGTATGCTACTTTGACTGGCATAAGTTCCTTGCTTGATCATTGAAGTCGCCTGCTAGAGTGACCATATCTGAGTGTTTTATTCTTAGCAGTAAACTAGACATTCTATTATCTCAATTATCTAATATATCCGTCCAGGCAGACTGCGCACACAAGACAATTCACTTGGATCGAGTCGAGTAGGCATTTTGCTCCTTAGTGCTCAATGCCATCCCCACACTTGTGAATTTTGGCGAGTTAGACGAAGAATCTTCTGTCACCCATGAGGGAAAGTTAGCAGCGTTATTCTGTTGACCAGATTGGGGTTAAGTGAATATCCACACTTGAGTCTTGTGTGAGTGTCTACGAAGCCTATGTATCATATGTTTATGACATCCAATAGCTGCAGGAACTGCAATAAAGAAATTTTTTCAATTATTGCTCAAAAACTTAGATTTATTTCACCTTTGATTGATCAGTTTTCATTCTCATTGCTTTGACTGTAAAAATTACAAAGAATGCCTGTTTCCTTAATTGACTAATTTCTGATGAATACATTTTCAATTAATTTACAGAATAAGGAAGTCGGTAAAGAGATTGTACAGTGTCAAAGCGAAGACGTTGAGAAGATATCTGTAAATCTTGTAAATATTCAAAAGCATCTACTCAAACTGTCATCATTATTTACCACTTGGTATACTTTGAAGGCGTTGAGTAATGATGAATTGTCAGACTGTGAAAATGTTGTATCTACAAGCACACAAAATACTGAACAACAACAAAGTAAGTTCTGTGTTATAATACTTGAATATTATGCACATTGACTAATTAATTGAGCCTCCTGACACTAATATTGTCTAAGTTTATTTCGCATACATCGATGATCAGATGACTGAAGAGGTTTCAGTATAACTTGGTTGATCATGACTGGCAGTGAAATCCGAGTTCGGATATGCCTGGCTAATTTCTTACACACAGGTCGAGATCGATTCCGACACATGCGTATATTTCCTTTGGAACATTTTCTTGATACGGATTGAATCAGTATACTAAAACGAAAAATTGGGATTCTTCTATAACGGAATGACATAAGAATCGAGTTATTGATGTAACAGTACAACCTGGCCATCGTCGGAGAGTATAATTACGCAGGTCTCTGTATACAGAAGGAAATGGTGGTCACTCAGTCTACCATGGTAATATGTTCTGTTTATTAACTTTTATTATTACTGTTATTTTATTCTACCTCTTACTATTACTATTCCTGATTCACTTAAGACTATCTTTCTTTTATCAGTACCATTATCTTGACTCATTTCAAGATTATTATTATTATTACTATTAGTAATCATTATTATTCTGTTCGGTATTTTTGATATTGAATAATGGTATATATATATGCATATTATTCAGCTGAAGAGTTCTACCGGAATTCGATGGACTTATTAAATCCTGCTTTATTAACTTTTGTTGATTGTTTTAAATATGGTGTCGTTTCATTGAAGTTACTTTGATTGCAGTTTATTTCTCGTGTAAGTTGTATGTGGTGTTGATTCGATACCAAAGGAGTATATGATCTTTTTCTGCTCATTATGTAATATCAGTCAGTACCAGGTGAGAGTATGGTATGATATTTAGTTAGTGAGTGTATATATATGTGTGGCCTTTTTCTAGAATTCTTAGTTCATTCGACCGAATCCTGCAGTTTTCGCTTAACTGATTGACTTCATTCACATCTCTAGGGTTGACGTGATTTCCCGCTGGCGACCAAAGGACGTGTGTACTCTCCTCAGCAGCAGTTCGCTTCGTCCTCCTTTACGTCTGTGATCCATGGCCATTGGAAAACGTAAAAAGGCTAACTAGCTGTCTCTGATCATAGATGTCTGCTTTCTATCTCTTGTCTTAGGTGGTATAATAGGGTGAACAGTATTGAGGTGTTAGGCTTCTGTCGAGTGCTAGGCAGGGAGGGGAGATCAACCGACGAGTTTATGGAGTTGCATCGATTGAGATAGACCATGTGTTACGCAAGCACCCCCCTACCCATCGATCGCCTTCCTCGACGGACAATGGTAGATGATATAGGGTGGATCGGGATCAAACCACAACTTGTAATCAGCTTGTGAAATCTTTAATAGTTAGTTTAAGTCGGGTAGAGAAGTGTTGACTGCCTAGTTAAGGTTTTGGGGATGCTAAGCACCATTGGCTGGCGGCAGTTGGTGACATGGCTCAAAATCGTTCTCAATGCCTGACACCAATGTATTCACTCTTTGTGATTTGTCACATGCAATAAAACCCAGTTGTTCTTCCATATTACTATTCTTTTTGTCTCACACTTCTGTTTATTATGTGTCTTTTGGATTTCTCTTTACTCTCTTCTTTTACTTTGTGTGTGTGTGTGTGTCACATGGAGGGACAGCAGGAACTCGAACTGGCGCACATCTGTTCCAAGTTCTGTGTTGAAACAAATCAGTCAGTCTATCAGTCATTTCGTTCAACCAGTTTCACTAAGATAATGCTTAACTTCGCAATCGTTTGATAGATACAATTCCTTTCGCTAAATGGAACCATAGAATCTTCTGATCTACGCGGTTATCTTTGTTGAGGGAGTTTTTTTAAAATTTATTTCCCTTTCACTGGTTCACTGTTATAGTAGTTTTGTGAACCTTAGGAACTTGATTTCTTCATGATTGTCTCATCTGTCATAGTGATATCTGATACTTAATGTTGGGAAATGAGGCGTTGCAAATTGAATTACTGCACAGCTAAGCTAACTAGATTCTACATTGGTGATTCCGATTTGTCCAACAAACTAAGATTACAGATATTAACTCATATGTTAAATCTACTCCGCTTTCGATGTTCACTTCTGCAGAAGGAATCGACTCCAGTTGATGAATACATCTTGTTCACGAAACAATAAGAGATTGCACTTAAATTAACGCTAGGAGCATTTCCACCAGACAACTGTAGACTTTCATCAACACAGTTCACTTTCACTGGGTAAACTCAGTATCACATGGCTGATAGAAGTACTGAACAATAATAAACTCTGGTATATTCAACGAACCAGCCAACAATCTCATTGACCAAAAAATTATGTACAAGGAAATGAAGTTAGACTGGAAATATACACTGAGGAGACCTTCAAGTGGCATCATATGCTAGACCATCGAGTGGGACTGTATAGTCTGGTGCCTTGACTGAAGATAATACGACTACTAGTAGTTTGGTCAATGAATAAATTTTATATTCTCGGTTCAACTTCCTAAATATATATACAGTATACAACAGAGTTTAGCAAACGTTTTCTTACATATATTCTATGTGTTGCTTCGCTTTTCCCACGAACCCCGAAATCTTTTAGGTGTTACTGATGTTTTCGAACTGACAACTTCAACTAGTGACGATGAGATGATAGCCAGGCCTGAGGAAACTCGTAGTAGAAAATGCAAACGACTGATTGGAAAGAAGCGCTTGAACGAGTTTTGTGGAACACCCAAGACACCAAGTCCATCTACACCAGCCCCTGAAGGTATATGATTGCTAATTAGTTATTTACTTATTTTGTTTTCAAGGAATTTTTTTTCATATTTTTGACAAAAATATTGTAAGTTATTAGTCAATCTATCTTTCAAAAAATGGATATTGCGCATTGAACTTGTTAAACTGCGATAGATTTGTGATTAGCTGTTTTTGCATCTAAGACTGCGTAGTCTGCAGTCAACAGTGTGCACTGGTGTCAGTACACCGTAAGTGATTGCTGAGTTTTAGAGGTTTCGCTTCAATTAGTCTAATTTCTTAACACACGTTGTGAAGCCAACAATCTTCAATGATTTCCTAATAACATCAACGTTAGTGCCTTCCAAACTGAAATTCACCTCAGCGACATAATCCCCATCACGTAGTTAGCAATGCTTTTGGTTCAAGACAGCTAAAGGTTGATCAAAAATAGTATAGCACCTAATAAGAGAATACACCCAAAGTAACTGGAAAATTCCCATTACGTCATAAGGGAAGTGTTCTAACTCATTTGTGTCGGGTAGCCGTACGTATTGCACAACCCGTTGATATATATATATATATATATATATATATATATATATATATATATCGACACCTTTGAGCTACTCACTTGGCTGTACATCAGTGAGCTAGGTGTTGTAACCAGAAACTCCCAGATTCACTCCATGATACAGTCGTGTGTGCTGAGTGATGAAGAGTTCTAATCTAGGGTGAAACAGCTGTTCCGTGCTTCGTGGCTTTCAGTTATCTTTAACTGATGTTGGTTGTATGATGAAATTTGCAAAAATGTCAAATAGTAATTGCAGTTGGTGTGCCTACTTAATATTGACTTAAATATTCAACTTTCTTCCAACGGGTGGCGAGTTCGGATTGCCCTGCTTCTACTTCATCCCTGGGAACTAAATAAAGCAGTGTTATCAACTCGGACAGAAAATGTGTCTCATGCGTTGCGTCATTTTTGGAAAATCTATTCCGGCTAACTGAATTCTACGAGCATGGACGCCCATTTAGCTTCTAAGGGTTGACAATCTTGTCAGCTGTGAAGTCATGATTTATGTATGCACTGTGACATGATAACTTGATTGGACAGTTTTTTACGCGTTTATTCATCGCTTAAATTCCTGAGGCTTTGTAAACATGATATGCCGTGTGTTTTGTCTAATAAATGTTGCTCCGGTTAAATCTCTTTCAGTGCAAGGAGTATTTTCAATTGTTGAGCCTGGTGAGGTATTCCAGTCAAATCAGAGGAACCTATAAAGCAGTACTGTTCCTTCGTAACATTAGTATCTGATTTTTGTATATCATCAAGGCATGTGTCACTTGACTAGTCCTATGTTTTTGTCCCTGTAGTGTTGTTCCTAGTGGAACATACGGGTTTCAAACTGCTTGAGTTTTGAAGTTTCTCACACTCAACAACCTTCCCTCTTGATCGGGAAATCAAGATTTAGTAGTTAGTCAGTCTGGAGTTAAACCCCAAGTCAGTGGACCACACCCACCAACTCACAGACTAGTCATCAGTTTCACCTATTTTCTTATATGCCTATTTCTTCTTTTTTTTCTTTCCCTTTGGTCAAATATCCATAGAGGAAAATAGAAAGTATATAATACACATAGAAAGTGAAGGCACAACATCACTACGATTACCTTGGAAAATAGAAGAATCGATAGCTTTATGGCATGGTGTAATGCACAATCCAGGTGCAAAAAATTGGTCACAAATATGGCGTCAATCATTTCGACATAGTAAACGAAGTCAAGTGAATTTAAAAGACCGTTGGCGTGTTATCAGTACTAATGAAACAATTAAGAATACTATACGTCGAGCTTATTCTCAGTGGAGAGCACAATTTACGAATAATACTGGTAGTCCAAAGAAATCGATCCATTTACCTGTACCAATTATTGTACGTGATACTTAACCCCCAACCATTCCAGAAATTTCTGAACACTGATACACATGTAAATATACTTTTTTCCTTGAAAATATATATAATTGTACATATTAAGTAAAATTATGATAATAAAAAACAAAGTAAATTCAGTTGTGAGCAAGAAGTAAACGAAAAACTGTAGGAGTGGTGGTAGTTCACCAATCACTTTACTTCGCACAAGTAATGAATTCGGCGGTAGCTAGCCAGTGTTAGATCGCATCATCTGGATAACAGCAGCAGGATTTTCATTACTTGTTTTTTCAGTCCCAGAGATAATCATAACTGCCCGCCACCCAAACCTTTTAGAGTAAAATAAGTTAAGAAAGGCATTCAATTTTCAAAGTAGATTTAGTTTAGTTGCATTAGTAGTAGTTCAATAAAGTAATTCATCTATGAATATTTATCTTTACTACCTGGTGATCAATCAAAGTCTGCTTTACAGTAGTCGTACAAGAGGTCAATAGCGATCCTGAAGAGTTCAGTGGTAACGTCCCTGACTGACTGGAGGACTCGCTGACGCGGGTTCCCAACTCAGAGAGGCATTAGTTGTTTAAAGATAGCAGGTTCGCCTTACTGATGGATGTCGACAAGCAAGACAGTTGGGCCAGACACGGCTTCGTGCTGACTGCCTACAACAGCTGTCCAACGTATTCATAATCCAAATCCCTATAATGTAATTCGAGTAAGATGATTTTGAACGAAAAATTGTTTTCGACAACTTCTTGCTCAAGATATACAGTTATAAATCCATGAATTTCAGAATACAAGTGAAGACAAATGAAAGTTATACCAGAAACTGTATTTGGTTATGCATGAGGTAGGTAGAGTGATAAGTCTGTTAGTTATTAGTATTATTAATTGAATGTGAATATCAAATGTACAACCATTCAGAATATAAGATAAAATGCAAACATGTTCGTTCTTTCTCTCTTCAAACTAATAAAGGGAACCGGTTGTATGAAAATGTGAATAGACAACTGGGTGACACTACCAATGTATTTATAGTCAAAAGAATATGCATTTCATTAGAGGGGGGTAGTAAGTTATATGTAATAGCGTAAGAGAAATATGGCTACCACAAAGTACATACAAGCAAATACCAACACAAATGAGGAATACTGAATGTAATTTCGAGAGCTGATAGATATCGAGTGTAGGTGATAAAATAAAGGGATTAAGTTACCAACTGCAATAAGATACTAGAGACATGATAAGCTTAGTGTAAATTACAAAGGTGGACACGTAATAAGGATAACCATGGAGTGAAGTAAACTTGGTGAAAAGGAATAAGAAAGACATAAGGTGATGACGTGATCACATGCCTGATGAATTGTTTTCGCACGCATAGGTCAAGTTACTTCTTATTAATTTCTATAGTTTCCGTTATAGCTAGGAGACGTGATTGTGTGCTTTTAGGCAGATTGTTTAGTGTTCGATATACAACCGTAAATGAACGATTCATCTCTTTTTCATCGTGTTCACTATCCACAAAAGTCCTCCAGTTCAGGTTTCTACATTCAATGTAGGAAAAGAAAACAGGAAATTGAGCGAGAAGCAAACAATAACGTGGAAAAGGGTGAGGACTGAATGAATGTGGAAGAGCATAAAGACTGACTCATTGCGTCACCCACAACTAAAATCAGTCGTGTGTGCACACACTTTTTCAAACTAACTTTTTGAAAGTTCATGAAGTGATGCCAGGTTATAATTCACTCGCCTCCTCTTCCACCTTAGTATATTCCTACACCTTATAACACTTATCTAAACAATACGTATGGAAATTTGATTATTTTACTATAGTTTCAATCTGATTAACGCTTCCAGTATTAAAAAATTGTTATCTGAAACTCCTTACAAGTCTAATAACACAACACATCTTTGGAAGCATTCCCTTTGTCGCTATGACCAAACATTCACACTGGTTTCAATACTCCTCCATCTATTTCAATATGTTAAGCTGAGTTGGATTCATCAGTCCCCACACGATGTGCGTGTGTATGTGTCGGTATCTCATACGTGGTCTGTTCCTTCAATGATCGCTCAACTCTTTTATAATAGTAGGACAGACGTGTATTCAGTATCTGGTCATTGTGCGTTATCCAGGTGTGTGTCTGTGTAGACTGACTTACCATTCTTGCTTATTCCTTCTGTGTTTCGAATGGGAAATAGGGCTTCACAAAGATTGAATGCACCTGTGCTACTCATCAATGACAACGATTTCCAGTCATATCAACAATATTTGTCAAAGGTTTGATAGATTACGGTTTGACCAACTCTCTAACACACTTTCTCAATATGATCATAAGCCGATGGGCTAACATTACCAGTTGAGGAAGGCGATGGATTGCTTATCATGAGCAACGTATGCCCCAGCCAACTCCATCCATTTGGATTCACAACCGCATCGATTCACTTACCCTCAACCTTCTACACCTAAGTATTACTCAAACTGTAGAGTCCTAAAAAATAACTCTTTAAAATTTTTGGTAAGTTTCGAAAGTGGAAACATGATACATAATTTTTGTTCAATCGACTTCCTTGTCAATAATACATAACTTTGACGTTCAACTGGATATACATTTGTGCTGTCTGTTACTTCTCCTTCTCACTGGCTCCTCCTACTGGTCTCTCGCTCCGTTGACACCTGCGTTGTATTACTTGGAATTTGCAGGAACACCTTATTCGATGATAATTCTATGAATAGTGGGTACGCCTCCAGTACTGGAACACATCTGTGGGTGATATTAATAATTTGTAACAACAATGATATTAGTATACCGTATCGTGCACGTAGGCTGTAACAGTTCACTTTCTAACAATGCAAACACTGGTGTCAAGCAATATGTCTAGGATGTTATCTGCAAGTTCATCATATACGCCCATGGATTTATTGGAGACAGTCAAAATTCGTTGGATGTTTTCTGTTAGCCATTGCAATCACATCTGTCGTAAAACCACTTCGTTAACCTGTTATGGGCCAGTCAGTTATCACATACACCTGAGGTGCTGAGACGACGTCTTTGAATCTAACTCCCATGCAGTGAATAACTGCTGGATCCTTTCCTCGTCGGAGGCACTCCTTCTTTGGATCAAAACTGCTTTGAGTCAACCGTACTGGTGGTGTGCACGTGCACTGTCGATTAGGTCAGTAATGTCTTTGAGTACTTTTGTAGGCAGTGCAGCTAAAACGCATGCATACTTAGCAATCTGTCACTTGATACCTCATGCAACAAATAGATGATAGCGAACTAAATTCTAGGCTCGGATTTTTACTAGTCGATGTTTATATAATTCCGAAATATTTACGCATACGTACTCCAATTACATCAAGAAAAATCACATCAGCAGCCGAACATGTCAGTAGATTATGTCTAAGAGCACAACTACATCGAATTACTGTGAAACTAAATAATATACCAAATGAAATTGGAAAACACAAACTCAAAGGTATGGTCAATGACAAAGACTATGTAACTGTTGTTGAAACATCCGAAAAAGCTAGAGAATCAGCATTGAGAAAATCAAAAACCGCACAAATCAAAATATTCAACAAACTAATGGAAGGAAAGAACACAATAAATAAAAAATTGATGTCAACGTTTCATTCTCTATTGACAGAACGGAATGGGTGATCAACCTCTCATCAAGGGAACTAAGCTCTAGTGAGTTAAAAGTACTTGAGAAACGGACTAAATTGCAATGTAACAGTTAGGAAATTAAAACCAGAGGATGTCATTTCTAACATAGAAGTAGCACTAGGTTCAAAAGATAAGATAACAGCAGAAGAGGTTCGAGCACAATGTTCATTAACGCTGAAAAATCAAAAGAAGGCAAAATCAAGCTTAACAAAATCGAAAAGAGAAGCTTTACTTAGTCTAAAGCAGGATAAAAATATTGTCATCGCAAAAGCTGACAAAGGAAACGCCAGCGTAGTTTTGGATAAATCTGACTATATCAAAAGAGTCACTAAACATAATCAGATGAGAAAATTAAGAAACCTGTAGATACAATAATGAATAAGGTTAAGAAATCCACAGCGGAATGAATCCGTCACTGGGTGAGTCAAAATGGTTTAATTTAATGCCTAAAATTAATAATGCTAGTACAATGTATGGTACTATTAAAAAACATAAGCCATGTTACCCCATACGACCAATAGTAGACTTTAGAAATACTCGCACTTATGAATTATGAAAACACTTAGCTCTAATAATATACTTATGGACAGCTGGGAAAGTATTGCTCTTAATACATTTAATCCTACTCTAAAAATATAGTGGAGATATGTGGATGATACTTTCACAGTGTTAAAAACAGAACATATCTCTAGTTTCTTGACACACATAAACTCACTGGTGGAGGGTATAAAATTCACATTTGAATCGGAAAATGAACAAGGAGAATTAGCCATGTTAGATTATAAAATAAAACGAATAGAAGAAGGTAAACTGCACACTAGTGTGTACGAAATACCAACTCATTCTAACAGATATTTAGCATATAAATGTAAATATTCGAATATAAGTCATCTACTGTTATACCATATAAAGAGGGGACATCTGAAACCCTACGTAGGATTCTAAATAAAGCAGGAATTAGAGTGGCATTTAAACCTACAAACTCACTCAGGCAGGAAAAGCTCTGTAGGCTAAAAGATCCGGTGAACCTAATTAAGCAGGATAATATCTTTGTCGGATATTCAAATGCAAATCCTTTCTCTTGGTCCGAGGTTGTCTACTATTTCGTCCAGAGTCAACGAATTAGACACAAAAGTTCAGTTTAAAAATCTTATGACTTGAACACAGGACTTACTTCCAATGTCTAGCGAAGACTTTGAACAGTTTGAATCCGCATTACTTCATTGTTATCACCTGTACCAAAGAACGCAGGGCAGACGACAAATGTTATCAAAAGAACACAAGAGACAACTTAATGAATTGCTGAACAACAAAAACATAATACTGATTCGTCCAGACAAAGAATCATGTATTGTTATTCTCAATCCTGATGACTATGTCAATAAATTATGTACCATCCTTAGTGATGAAGAAAAATTTCAAAAAATCACCTTACTAAAAAAGATAAGACGGAAAATATTGAGAAGGAATTATCAAGAACTCTGACGAAATTGAAGCAAGAATGCATTATTACTCCATATATGTATGAACAGCTTAAACCATCTGGTTCAACTATCCCTCGTTTATATGGTCTTCCAAAGGTGCACAAAGATGATGTCCCTCTGCGACCTGTATTGGATATGCTGAATTCACCGTATCACTCTATTGCAAAATGGCTTGCAGGAATTCTTGAACCAGTTTGATTAAATCTATGTAAACATAGTCTTCCGACACTTTCGACTTTGTCAGTTGCGTTGATGAAATTAATGTGATCGGTAAGCATATGATTTCCTTATATGTTTGTTCATTGTTTACAAATGTACCGCTAGTAAACACTATCTGCTATCTATGCGAGTATATTGATTTAAATAGCATGAACATCGGCTTAACAACTGAATATCTGAAACACCTATTGTTGAGATGCACACTGAATGTGCAATTTAGATTTAATGGAGTCATCTGCAATGAAAGGGATGTAGTCGTCAGGGGTCTCCTTTAGGACCGCTATTAGCAAATGTCTTCATGGCAAGCTTAGAGAACGGCCCACTGTGTTTTCATGTATAAAAGATATATAGATAATACCTTCATTGTCTGTGAGGAAAACTCCTCAACTGCCGAACTTCTTGGAATATTTAATGGTTCTCACCCATCTTTTCTTTTCACGGTAGGAGAAGAGTCAAATTCTGCGATTCACTTCCTTGACGTTAAGCTAGATAGAAGAGGGAATGGAACCCTGTTAAGGTCGACTTACCGAAAGCCGACATTCACAGGGCAGTACACCG